ACATGTGTGCAATGCGATTTGGTGTGAATAACCAACCAGTTGACGGGCTCGACGACTACTGGTAGTTATGCATGTACATGTACAAGTATGTGCTAGCTAGCTATTTGGGTCAGAGTGGCGCTGGGGGGATGCTACAAGTCGATTATTGTGAAGGGAAGGGGGGGTAGTTAAGGGCTATGGAGGTGTAGGGGATGCAGTCGCTGCTATCCTGGCGATCTTCATACACTATAAGCTAGTCATGATGTCGTGAATGGTGGCTCTAACCTCGTAGAATGGTGGTTGTGTGCTTTCACATGTAGATAAGCTACAAGCACAATCGTTGTGGAGGGGACAGGAGGCTGTGGGGGGTTATAAGCGATGTAGGGGTTGCAATCGATACAGCTGTAGCGATTTACATGCACTATGAGCAAGTCGCACATAGTGGCTGAATCCTGTGCTTTTAGGTGTGGATTCACCGCCACTCTAACCCAATTGCTAGCATTTACACGAATAATGTAACGGGGTCCGGATAACATCCGGACACGACATCCCGCCAGTTCCAATCCTGACCAGGGCCGACACTAGAACCACATGTTATGGAACCGCTTCGCCAATTGTACTCCGTAACGCGCCTGCTCGACCAGGGGCGGTATGTAATTACTTCGCTCAACGCTTCATACCTCGTGCTTCGACCGATCTTCTTCGAAGTTCGGTCCTCGTCTTCCTACACAGCCCTTGTTATCCGGATTCCCCAGGGGAGGGACGGATAAATCCTTGCGGAAATAATCCGGGGAAGCCGGGGATCGAACCACGCGAAAGGACACTTGGCAATCCAAGTGTCTTGAATCACTGGCTCTGCGACATCCGCAGCAACACCATTCATTTGACATGAATTGCATGACTGGCGCGCAGCCGCGCGCCAAGGAAACCAGCTCAGAGATAGCTAGTTCTTCAGTTAACAATATACCTTGTTCTACACACCTTCCTCTGTGCGCCCCATTACAAATAACTTGGCGTTGTGCTCCACACACAGCTGTACGTAACTTTCACGCAAAGTCATATTGCTCACACATAAGTACAAAGGAAAATCACAGGGCTACGTCAAATTGCTAGCTCAACTGCTGGCATGGTTCAGGACTCTAGAATGCTTGTCTTGCCTTACTAGCAGAAATGGATTTGGTCATCGTTGATGCGAGCAACAACGACGGGCTAATCCTCTAGTATACTGTATCAGCACCTCTCGTTATCACTGTGTTAGTTGTGAATAAGGTACCTGCAATGCAAGGCTAGTTAGTGCATCAGTCAAGCAATACGACACAGCATGTATGCTCTTGTTCAACACCCTCATCTTCCAGAAATATTGCGTTTTGATTGGATAGATATTTACTTTTTATGGCCAACCACACATTTCAATGTCGTCATTCTTCAATTTGCCACCTCACACACACTGCTCACTGGGTCCACGGGTATGTAAGTGATCGATCCCCTTGCGTATTCAGTCATCCGTTGGTACCGCAAGCAAGGTCCATTCTATATCTAGGCAGTACATATATATCGACTATAGAAGATGTCTTACAGAAGCAGCACGAAACACGACCCACGCACGATATACGCGGAACTTTGGCGGCTTGTGGC